CGGGGTGAATTTGGTACCCGGATGGAAGCTGGAGAAGGTAGGTGACTTCATTAATCTGCCTCTGTATGGGGAACGGACCAATGTAGTGGGGACTCGGCTTCTTACAGGGCAGGCGGAGGCGCATATCCTGGGTGGACAGCCGGACCTTCTTTCCAGGCTGGTAAGTAGGAGTAGAGGTGTGCCGGGCATCTGCGAAGGCCTTATGCCTCTGCACTGCTTGTTGGAGGTGGACGTGAGCCGAGTCCCACACTCTCTCGCTCACCTAGAACCAGTAGTCCACAGCTGGAACCTCCGAGGGCTCTTCCGTCCATGGGAAGAGCGGGGTTTGGTAACAGAGTATGCACTGAAAGGGGGTTAGGCCGATGGTGTTCTGTCGGAGGGAGTTGTGAATACTCGGCCCAGGGGAGGAAATGGCTCCAGCTGTGCTGATCTTCGTGGCAGTATGACCGGAGGTAACGCCCGAGCTCCTGGATCCTTCGCTCAGTCTGGCCATTCGTCTGAGGATGGTACCTGGAGGACAAGCTCACGGTCACTCCCAGGAGTCGGAAGAGGCTTTCCATACACGGGAGATAAACTGGGGACCCCGGTCTGAAACCACATCCTGTAGTGCTGTAGTTTCTGAAAACATGGGTAAATAGGCACTCTGCAGTTTCTATTGCTGTTGGCAGACCTTTGAGGGGTATACATTTACAGGCCTTAGAAAAACGGTCGACTACTACAAGGATACAGGTGCTTCTGTCGGAGATGGGTAGGTCAGTCATGAAATCCACTCCTATGTGGGACCAGGGGTACTCTGTGAACTGAGCCCAGAAGGGTTTGGCGTTGTGATGTTGGGATATAGGTTTTCCCCTCTGGGCCTTCCAGCGGAGCAGGCTCGGTGTGAGTGGCGTCAAGGATGTCTTTGGAGATGTTCCATTGAATGGGGCTGACTATCAGAGCTGGAGGGGTTCCGGGTTCCGGTTCGGTGGGTGTGTCTGGAGAGTGCAGGCGCGATAGGGCATCGGCTTTGCAGTTGCGATTTCCGGGACGGTAAGTGATGGTGAACTGGAACAGAGTAAAGAACAATTCCCATCTGGCTTGACGTGGGCTGAGTCTCTTAGCATCTCTGAGATATTGCAGATTTTTATAGTCGGTGATGACAGTGAAAGGATGGTGAGCTCCCTCCAGCCAGTGACGCCACTCCTCCAGAGCTAATTTGATGGCGAGCAGTTCCCGGTTGCCGATGTCGTAGTTCTGCTCCGCTGGGGTCAGTTTTCTTGAAAAGTTAGCGCAAAGATGGAGGCTGGGAGGCTCACCACAGTGCTGCGACAGCACGGCCCCGACACAGGTGGTGGAGGCGTCCACTTCCATCACAAAAGGGAGCTTGGGGATCGGGATGACGAAGGATGGGGGCCGTGCTGAAGGCTTCCCTGAGTTGTTTGAATTCTTTGTGGGCATTGGGGCTCCAGGACAGGGACTGGGGCTTTCCTCGGAGCAGGGAGGTAAGAGGAGCTGTGAGTATGCTGAAGTTCTTGACAAACCGTCGGTAGAAGTTTGCGAATCCAAGGAATCTTTGCAGGTCCTTAACAGTTTGGGGCTGCGGCCACTCCTTGATGGCTGTTACCTTCCCTTGGTCCATCTGAATCCCATCCCGGCTGATGACGTAACCGAGGAACTGAACCGTGGAGCGATGGAATTCGAACTTCGCCTCTGGAGGACCTGCTTCACGTGGCGGCAATGTTCGACCAGGTTCCGGGAATATATGAGGATATCATCGATGTAGACTATCACGAAGAGATGAAGGAACTCCCGGAACACCTCGTTCATGAAGCCTTGAAAGAATGATGGTGAGTTAGCTAGGCCATACGGCATGACCCGATATTCATAGTGGCCTGCAGGAGTTATGAATGCCGTCTTCCACTCGTCACCTTCCTGGATACGAACGAGGTTGTACGTGCTCCGCAGGTCCAACTTGAAGATGCGGGCTCCACGGAGTTCCTCGAGGGCGGCTGGGACCAGGGGATGTGGGTATGGCAGCTTTACCGTCTGGGAGTTTAGCATGCGATAATCGATACACGGCCTCAAGGCCCCATCCTTCTTGCCCACGAAGAAGAAGCTCGAGGCAGCTGGTGAGGTGGATGGTTGAATGAATCTGTTTGAGAGCCTCCTGGATGTAATCCTCCATGGCCTTGCGCTCCGGGATGGACAGAGGGTATACTCTACCTTTGGGGAATTTTATCCCAGGCAGCAGGTCAATGGCACAGTCCCATGGCCGATGAGGTGGAAGGCGGGTGGCGGCCCGCTTACTAAAGACATCCTGGAACGCCACAGTCAGATGGGACAGCAGGTGTCTCTTGAGTTTCCGGACTTTTGACTAGGGTGGAGGTAACTTGGGCTCAGACTAGATACGCAGGTGGTTTAGGGATCTCCATGAGACAGTTTTGCCGGCACGACTTGCTCCAGCAAGTTACCGCACTGGGTTCCCATCTGACCTCTGGAGAGTGGAGAGTGAGCCAGGGGCATCCCAGGATGATATCGACGGTAGATCCCTCCAGTACCAGAAATGTGATGGCCTCCTCATGCAGACATCCGATCTTCAGCTTCATCGGCGGAGTTCGGTAGTTGACCCGCCCACGCCCTAGCGGTTTTCCCTGAGTGGTCTTGACTCTGAGCTCTTGGGCCTGACGTTGACGAGGCAGATGGAGACGGCTTAGGAGGTCTCGTGATATGAAATTGCCCAAAGAGCCCGAGTCGATGTGGGCGGAGACTGAAACAGAACAATCGGTGGTGAATAGTTGTACTGGTAACAAGGATAAAGTTGAGATTACTGGTTCGAGTTGAATAGTACTCACCACAGGGCGTGGGGGCCTGACGGGGCAGGCTTGAATGAAATGGCCTGGAGCAGCGCAGTACAGGCACAGTCCAGCCGCTAGGCGGCGAGCGCGCTCAGCGCGAGTGAGTCTGGTGGAATCCATGTGCATGGGTTCTGGTACTTGGGGACTGCTGGTGGCTGCTGCAGGCTGGTGGACGGCTTCGTCAGGCTGGCAGGCTGACAACCGTTGGGAGATGCGTGTGGCTCTTTGCATGAAGCTCTCTAACCCCATAGTATCGTCATAGATGGCCATTTGAGTGCGGATTGAGCGCGGAAACCCTGCCGGTAGGCACTGAGGAGAGCGGTTTCGTTCCAGTCACTAGTCGCCGCTAGCGTCCGAAATTGCAGGGTGTATTTGCTGGTGGTAGAAGAGCCTTGATGCAGCCGCAGGAGTTGGTCAGGGAAGGATAGCATTCCTGTAGCAGAGCCAAGCACTTCCTTGAAATGATTAGTGAAAGCATCATATGAGTTGATTATGGCAATATTGGCGTTCCATATTGCTCGTGCCCACAACAGTGCTCTGCCAGTTGAGATGCTAGAGAGTTCTTGGGTTCTTAGCTCTGGGTAGTTCGTTGGTATCCTTTGCAGGTATCCGGAGACGATGAGAACGGGATCGTTGGAGATCAGGATCGATGGAGCTTCCAGGGGTAAGTAAACAACAGATCAGATGAAGGTAGGAGTCAGGCTAAGTTCAAGCTGGTGAAGGGTAGACCGGACAGTGAGGCAGTGAGAGGAGTGCAGGAATATAGTGCGCCTAATGAGTCTCTGCAGGTGCGGGTGATCAGTATTCTGGTGATTGCGATCTGGTGTGTGTCGGGGCTGGTGACTGAGGTGACGTAGGTGACTGTGAAGGCAGAGACTCCATGACAATTATATAGATATGATTGAATTATTATTTAAATATTATTTTAAAATATCAAGATGACAGGGTGGACCAGCACATAACGGGGTGGACATAAGCAGAACACACAAAGCATGAGAAAATATGACAATGAAACATTTATTCAACTTTGAAAAAAATTAATATAATAATAATAAATAATATAATTACATTCTCAATCACATTGATATAATTTGTCAACTGAAAAGGCACCAACTTATGCACCTTAGCCGTTGAAATTCCCGCCACTGAAGAGACAAAAAATCTGTTGTCCTGATGTCACTAAAGTGGATGGCCTTTTCTTAAAGGGGCGGATTCCCGAATACGACAGGGTGGACAACCATTCAAGAGACATGGACAAACTCTTCTTTTTTATTAAATAAAAATGTAATTTTTATTACCAAATGATCAATACACTCAAATTGAGTCATCTCTTATTTAACAAAATATTAAAAGGAGAACAAAAGTTTTAAATTTTAGGATTTGACTATATTCTACTCATTCAGATTTAATGAGCAGTGCATGGGACATAGCAAAATAGCATCCTCTTACACAAAACTAAACAAAATCTAGAAAATGTATCTAAAGAGCCAAGTAATGCTTTTTTATGAATATAAAACCTTAGCCTAATATAACACACCCTTTCTTAGTCATTTGTTATCATGGCAAATTAGTTATTTATGTACAGGACATCAAAAGACACCCTAATGGCTGTGTAAATTATTTTAGAAATGAAAAGCCGCAGCAAAAAGTGTCTCTTTTCTCAGCACCGGTGGAGATTGACCAACCACAATAAGATGAATAACATGTTTGACCAATCACAATATTTTGTTTAAAAATGGACCAATCAGAGTTTCTGTACGGTACAGAAATACTTCGGAGTGAATGTGTGAAAGTGTTTCTGAAGCTTGCGGAGCGGATTTTACAGATAAATAAGAGGCCTTTAAAACTGGTCGTGTGGTTTTCATATGCTGTGCCTTCTTTTGTCGTTAATGGGTTTATGTATTGTGCAAATTAGTACGTTACTAATTCATAACGTCGTGTTGATTAATTCAGGAGTAAATGACCTCACAAAATGGCGGTATCTAGAAAAATATGCTTGTCTTTGCTCCTCGTTGGTCACTAACGTCTGGATTTAAGTGCAATTTAAGTCTGAAGTCGACAGTTAATGAATAAAAAGTCCAGGTTTAAGTCGTTTTTTTTGTGACGCAGACTTTCATTACTTGAGTTTTCATCTCTATTAATTATGCACTTCGCTTCTTTCTGCAGGGGTTGAATGCGCAGACTGTTACAGGTCAGTCATAACATTTACAGTCACGGTATGAAACATCAGAGTCCCACCAGTTAATATGTTTATATCCTGTTACTGTAATACAATATGTAATGCTGTTTACACTTAATGTCATACATTCTTCAATTAATAATTTCAATACATCATTCATTACATTCAGACATTTTCTTTTAAGCATGTCAATGAATATTACTTAAATTATAATTGTATTTCTTCATAAATCTAAATGTCCCAGCAGCCCCAGCCACAACAAGCGCTCTTTCAACTGAGTCTCAAACAAGTGAGTATTTTTTTTTTCATGGGTGATTAAGTAAATGTGGTAATAGGAAAATGATATTGATAATGCAGTATATTGTAATAATAACTGTGCTTATTTCATGTCAAATTCCAAGTATCAAACATCAGCATCTAGCCCGGTGTTAAATTTACATTTGGGGATAGGAAATAGTAACAATATTGTATTCATACAGATTACACCAATTTAATGTATTTTAATAATTCTCGCAGTGCAAAACATTTGACTGTATGTGAAAAAACTTTTTTTTTTCCCATTGTAAATCTAAATATCCCAGCAGCTCCAGCCACTACAAGCTCTCTTTCAACTGAGTCTCAAACATCAGCTCCTTCAAGTGAGTATTTTTTATTCATGGACAACTGAGTAAATGTTGTTAATAGAAAAATTATATCTGTATTTTATTCGTTTTTATTGTTAATGTGGTATATTGTAATAATAACTGTGTTCATTTCATGTCAAATCCCAAGTATCAAACATCAGCATCTACATGTTACATTTACATTGGGAAATAGGAAATAGAAAAAAATAAAATATCGTATTCATATATAACAGCAATTTTATTTTAACAACAATTCTCACAGTATAAAATTTGATTGTATGCACAAAAAATATACTTTTTTTTTCTTCATGCATCAAGATGTCCAAGCAGCTCCTGCCACTACAAGCTCTCCTTCAACTGAGTCTCAAACATCAGCTCCTTCAAGTGAGTATTTTTGCAGTGTTTCCCACGGACTTATGCTCTATGTGTGGCGGGGCTTCCCCCCGTGGGATATATATACCAGTTCACATTTACAGCTCTGCGTGTTTGCTGAGTAAAACCATCAGTCGATTCTCCAAGTAGGTATAACTGCGGACCGGAGAACTCCAAAATGGGGCGTGAACTCCAAAAGTGGGCAGAACCTCCAAATTGGGTGGGGTCTCCTCGCGCAAAGACTTTCACCATTGGCTGTGGCTTCAGCCAATTGGTATTGACTTACATTTCAAAATAAAATTACATGCTGAATGTTTAAGTCTGTGTGTGACTTTAGCATATTACCACTCACTATTTAAGGTTTATATAAACCTAAATAAAAACATCTCAGGGTATTTATGAAAAAAGAAATTTGATAAAGCTCTTTAATAAACACACATAGCAAACAATACTAATGATTGCTTTAATTAGATGATAAGTCACCTTCTAAAAGCAATCTATTTATTACTTTTCTTCCTTTGAAATCAAATAACTCTGACTTCATAATGCATTACTGCATTAACAGGAAGTAAATTATAGTAACCTAAACCAAGTTCAAAGTGCCCAACCAAAGGGAAGTAAGTAAATTGTTTTATTTGCCTTGAAAGTAGCTGTAACTTAATAAAACCTAGTAAGTATAACAACTAAGTAAAGATAACTAACTAAATCTAAGTAAGGTAAACTATTGGATTTTACAGTGTGGTGTTCTGACTGGAGTTTGAACCTCTGCTTCATGATGTAAACGGGAATCACCCACGAGCCGTCCCAGCGAAGGGTAAAGATTTTACTCTATGGCTGTGTTCCAAGCAACGGGGGCGCCCCGAATTTCGGGGGAACGAAATTCGCAGGGTAGGAGGGGGTAGTGACGCTGGGTGTAACTAAAACGGTGCCATTGTCCGGTGAGGTCTGATTGAGGAGTTACGGAAAAATCTCATATCGCATAATCTTATTAACTGTTTATCTCGTGAACTGCAACTTTCTTTACCACGCTATTCAGCGCCAATCCCGCCGTGCAGTCAATTTCACGGGGGGGGGAAATTGCGCATGCGTGTCATGTGCCTGTCTGTCAATGGGGGGAAGCCACGCCTTATTTTGGAGCTCCCACCCCGTTTTGGAGTTCCCGCCCCCATTTGGAGATCTCCAGGCTGCAGTTATACCCTTCTCCGATTTTCGCGTTGGTCTGAATGAAAATGCAAATTCATTGTTTGCCACTATGTGCTGCTTTTGGAGCGTAAAAATAGCTGTTTCCCCAGTAACGGCTGTACACAAAGCAGCACTGTGCTCACAAACGCTGCTTTATCAGGCATGACAGGCATGATGAAATGGAAATGAAATAGAAAATTTCCTGAAGATAGTCGGTTTCCTTCAGATATAGACTAATACAAAAACACTAGCGTCGCGTTTTGATTTTGAAACGTGCAGTGCTCATGTTTATTCAACAAAGTCAAAGCCTTTTGAAAAATCTATTTGTGGAGGTCAGTTTTGATATTGTGATGGCCTGCTACAAATAAATCAATGTATGGGAAACACTGTTTTATTTATGGACAACTGAGTAAATATGGTAATAGGAAAATGATATCTGTATTTTATTGATAATGTAGTATATTGTAATAATAACTGTGCTTATTGTCAAATTCCAAGTATCAAACATCAGCATCTACGTGTTAAATTTACATTGGCGGATAGGAAATAGTAACAATATTGTATTCATACAGATTACACCAATTTAATGTATTTTAATAATTCTCGCAGTGCAAAAATGTGACTATGCAAAAAAAAAAAAACTTTTTTTTTTCTTCGTACATCTAAATATCCCAGCAGCTCCTGCAACTACAAGCTCTCCTTCAACTGAGTCTCAAACATCAGCTCCTTCAAGTGAGTATTTTTATTCATGGACAACTGAGTAAATGTGTTAATAGAAACATTATATCTGTATTTTATTCGTTTTTATTGTTAATGTGGTATATTGTAATAACTGTGCTTATTTCATGTCAAATCCTAAGTATCAAACATCAGCATCTACGTGTTAAATTTACATTGGGAGATTGGAAATAGTAACAATACAATATTGCATTCATACAGATTACAGCAATTTAATCTATTTTAATAATTCTTGCAGTGTAAAATTTGATTGTATGCAAAAAAATCTCCTTTTTTCCCCTTCATGCATCAAGCTCCTACCACTACAAGCTCTCCTTCAACTGAGTCTATACACAATAGAAAAGTAGTAATACAGTGTGACACATCAGATTATGAATGATCAGCATTATTTGTTAACTCTATGTAACGTATGAACAGTGTGAAACATAAAGTAAGATTACTAGAGCCTGACCGATATGGTTTTTTTGGGGCCGATACCGATATTAGGGAGTAAAAAAAGACAGATACTGATATATCGGTTGATATTCTTTATGTGTAGGCTATATTATAGTACAGTATAGTCAAAAGTTTGGACACACTTCCCATTCGTGTGTCCAAACTTTTGACTGGTACTGTATATAGAATACAGTATATAGCCTACATAAACAGAATATATATACATAAACACATTTTTTGCAATGATAACTCAAATGTGGTGATCAAACACTTATAATGATGTGACAAATATAGGCCTATGTAATGGAGGCAGGGTATTTAACAATTTAACAATAAACTTTATTATTCAAACTGGGATCACAGTATGAGGATTGTGTGATGTCACTGTGATCATCGCATGATCTCACGTGTTGACTGGGTATGCTGACACCGTGTCTGCGCTGCAACATTAAAAATGCATCATTTTAACTTCTGTCAGCATGTCATAAATAGAACGAGGCATCACTTTACTGAATCCGGTGTAGACAACATAATGGGTTCTATTCTACACCGGACGCGAGCGAGAAATTCTATTGTATTTTGTCGCGCTGCGCGATGTGATGTGACCGATGTGATAAGCATGAGTTCTGGGCCAGCATTGAGTGGCCGCGATCAGCTCCGGTGGCCATAACACAGGCTTTAATGCGCCGCAGACGTGCGCCGTGAAGCGCAGATCAGCTCTAGTCTCTAACGTCACTGAATCTGCTGTTAAAATTAATCATCCATTCATCGTATCATCATGCAAAACAGAATTAGAATCATTGTAATGTGACGATCAAATATAGGTGCGGGTGCAGATCTACACTACACTGACCTGGGTCCAGTAGCAAACAATGGAGCGCGCTCTGCTGGACAAACTAAGTAATTACACCATTCAGAAGCATTTAATCTGTGTTATATGTTCTGTAAAAAAAAAAATTCATATCGGCGGAATATTCGCCGATACCGATATATCGGCGACAGGCTCATATCGGCCGATGATATCAGCTAAACGATATATCGGTCGGGTTCTAAAGATTACCCAGGATCCCATTTACCTGGGGTTTGGAATTACCCATTGTTAATTATTTCAAGTGTGAGTGACCTTTAGCGGGAAGTCGTGGCCTAATGGTTAGAGAGTCGGACTTGTGTCACGTCACTTTCACTTAAATGTTTAAAGTACTATCAGTGATTCTGTCAAGTAGGCTATGCCCTTTAGCAGAAGATGATACTTGATCTATGACTATGCATCACATTTTATAACAATAAAAATAAAAAGAAATTCTAATAATTAATCCAGGTGAGGCAAATTTTGGTTTATTGGTGTGAATGCAATGTGTGCCGAAAGCAACCACACTTCCATATGAGGCATGGGATTTGTTTCAAACATGTTACGATACTGCATATGTGAACTCTTGGTAGCTTCAGAAGCTGTTAAAATGAATAAAATCCTTTTTTCCCAAATATCTCTAAAACTGATTCAAAAATATAATGTGGCTCAACCATTTCAGTGCATTTCTAGCACTCTGACGATTTTGATTTGATAGAGGGAAAGAAGATACAATTCTAATTTCAACATTATTTGTTTTTCAGACATTGTTCTCTAAATAAAATAAGTATCGGCTGTATACAAAGTGGCCAACATTTGGTTTTTGACCACTGAAAATGGGTAATATTCAACAATCTGGACATGGATCCTCATTGAGGTCCCCATATCTCTGAGAATGAATGATGTAGGGCCTTGAAAATTAAGATTACAAAAGAAAAGTTTATTAAGAACTAGTATCTAAAATCATATTGTGATATCTTTAATACTTCTTGAGTTATAGGCATGCAAACTTTGGAAATAGAATATTTATGGCACTCAGACAGGTATGTTCAATGCAGTTGTTTTGACAGATGGAAACAAGATACATCTTTATTTTCAACATTATTTGTTCTTCAGACATTCCTCTTTAAAAGAAAAGAAGAAAATCATATTTTTGCAAAGTGCTCTCCTAGTGACGTTGCTTATTTGTTCTTCAGACATTCCTCTTTAAAAGAAAATAAGAAAATCATATTTTTGCAAAGTGACCCACATTTGGTTTTTGACCACTGAAAATGTGTACAATGTAATGATTTACTCCTGGAGTCATATTGAAATTCTAATATCTCTGGAACTGTACAATATACGGCCTTAAAATGAAGATGCCAAAAGGAAAGTTTGTTAAGACCCAATGTCTAAAAGGACATTAAGATATCTTTAATACATTTTGAGTTACAGACCTGCAAACTTTGGAGAAAAAAATAAAAAGTGCTGTTTCCCCATTTTAGAATACACCATTGGCACATAATGGAACAAAGATTGCTGAAGTCAACAGATTTTACTAATAGACCTACCAATCTCTGTGTAAAAATAATATAATGATGCTGGCATCTTTCTAAAGTAATTTTTACCCCCCTGTAATTTGGATCTGAATATTGGGTTAAAATTGCCATTTTGACCGCCCTCTATAAAATAGTGGATTACTCAGTTAATATTCATCCACACATTTAATATTTTGGCTTTCATCCCTAAACATGTTTATCTTTCTTTATTCATTCATTCATCATTCATTTCATTATTTATTTATAAAGCACATTTAAAAACAACCCAAGGTTGACCAAAGTGCTGTACAGATCAGGAAGCTCAAATAAAAAACAGAATCTATAACAATCTATAAGACAACATAAAAAAAAATAAAAAAAAGATATAGTATATAAATATAAATATTTAATGTAAATATTAATACATTTCTTTAGAAAAAAATATTAGTAAAATTAAAAATTTGAGCCGGGGACCTCTGGTTGAGTTGACACGGAATGACCCAGGTGTCATTTTATTAATTTTATTGTTAATGTGGTATATTGTAATAGTAACTGTGCATATTTCACGTCAAATCCCAGGTATTAAACATCAGCAACTACCTGTTAAATTTATGTTGGGAAACAGAAAATAGTAATAAGACAAAATTGTATTCATATTGCAATTTCATGTATTTTAATAATGCTTCCTAAAATTTGACTGTATGCAACAACAACAACAACAACAAAAAAAAATATATATACATATATTTAATTGCAATTTTGTTTTTCTGAGCAAAAAATAAATATCATAGTAACAATCTTGTCAGGCATATTTACAACAAAAGTACATTTTTTACATATTAAAAGACTAATTACTTTCACCCCAAATACTAATTAGTTGTAATTTTACATTTTTAAAATTTGCCACTATCCTAGGTTTTGCCCATTTGTCAGTAAGAATTTTGTACTCACAATTTAAAACACAATCAAATTTAATATGCTCCCTTATTCTTTTATATATTTTAATATGTACACGTCAGAATAAGCATGTTGTTGAATTTTTACATAAATATTGTGTTACACTGAATGACAATGGAACATTATTTCAACCAAATTTTGACTTATTTGAAACCTTAAAAGTAGACACTTTACACTTTACTTACATTTAATGCGCTTTCTATGGACATAAAAACACTTTTGTAAATTTATTTTGATGTGGACATCTTAATGTCTTTGACCCATATATATATATACTGTATATAATTTTGTTTTTTTTCTAAATATCCCAGCAGCTCCTGCAAATATAAGCTCCCCTTCAACTGAGTCTCAAACATCAGCTCCTTCAAGTGAGTATTTTTATTCATGGACAACTAAGTAAATGTGTTAATAGAAAAATTATATCTGTATTTTATTCATTTTTATTGTTAATGTGGTATATTGTAATAATAATGTCTCGGTTACATATGGTAACCCTCGTTCCCTGATGGAGGGAAGATGTTGTTGTCGAATGTACGACACTAGGGGTCACTCTTCGGAGCCCAAACACCTCTGATATCTTTGAGAAAAGGCCAGTGAAATTGGGTGTGCATAATTTGCATAGCTGGCAATGCCCCGGACATCTGGGTATAAATAAGCCAGCGTAGCATCTGCTCTCTCGTTCTGTTCTGAGGAGTCAAGAAGCAAGAGGAGTCTCAACCCACTCAGAAGCAGTTCGAATTTGTGGCATAAGGGAAACAATGTCGCTGTTCCCTCCATCAGGGAACAAGGGTTACCATATGTAACCGAGACATTCCCTTTCAGTCGTTCACTTCGACGTTGTGTCGAATGTACGACACTAGGGGTTCCTATACTAAACGCCACAGCTGCCGAACTGAGTCCACGGGGGCACAGATGTTGACAGGCTCAGGTGTCACAACCAAATGCACCCCACCTCCTCGTAACCTTCCAGCTCCCAAGACTTAAGACCTTGCTCTCCAAGATCCGGGGGAGACACCATAAAGGTAGAGGTCCCTTCAGCCGGATTCCATGGATTTTCCATGGCAAACTGAAGGAACGGTTTGTGTCTTGGAATGATCGAGACATGAAAGTACGCGTCCTTCAGGCAGCAGACAGCCAGTGTGAAGCCGTATTCACCACCCACCCCACGTCGGAAGTGGATCTGAACTGGTCAACTGGTCCCTACTCCCTGGGTCACCCATCTCAGGGACGCTTTGAAGCCTTCCGAGGGTTGTTGGTGCCCTGCTGATGAGCTGGCGGTGCCACCTTCCTGCGAGTGGTGGGCCATTGGTTGGGCTTGACTGCAGGTCCAGGCTGTTGCAGGACCTCAGCAGACCTCGCAGGGGGCCGTCCCCAGCGACGAGCAGATGGGGGCTGCTGTCTTGGAGGTGCAGGACCAGGGCCTGACCCACGTCAAGGCAGGATGTGTTTGATGGTCTCCGTCTGCTTCTTGACCGTGGAGAACAGCTGTGCAAATTATTCTGCGGTGTCACCAAAGAGACCAACCTGTGAAATGGTGGCGTCAAGAAAGAGAACTTTCTCGGCATCCAGCATCTCAGGCAGGTTGAGCCAGTTGGCACTCCTGGACCACTAGTGTGGACATCGCCCTACCCAGAGCCTGCACCGTGACTTTTGTAGCCCGGAGGGCATAGTCAGTCGCCGAATGCAGTTCCTGCAGCACCTCTTGGTTGGGGCCACCCTCGTGCAGATCTTTCAACGCCTTGGCCTGGTAGACCTGCAGCATGGCGTGCAGGGCGGACGCAGCTTGTCCAGAAGCCGTGTAATCTGTTGCCACGAGGGACGAAGAGAACTTACATGCCCTGGAGGGGAGTCTTGGATGGCCCCGCCAGGTGGCGGCGTTTTGTGGTCAAAGATGCACCACAATCGCCCTTTCCACCTGGGGGACCTCCGTGTACCCCCTCGCTGGACCCCCATCAAGGGTGGTGAGGACAGAAGAGCTGGTGTACCATGTCCTGGCCGAGAAGGGGCCCTCCACAATTTTGTCAGCTCTTCATGCACTTTCGGGAAGAAAGGTTCTGGGGCGGAGCGTGGCTTAGAGTCGCGCTCTACACCCAGAAACCAATCATCCAGCCACAAGCACTCAGGACAGGATGGAGTCCACTCGAGCCCGATGCTTTTGGCTGCCTGGGTAAGCACAGCCGCCATCTCAGCGTCCGCCTCGGACTGAAGCTCAGCGACCGTAGGTGCTGGTTCAAGCCCGAAGAACCCGAGTCGCGAGTGCAACATGCTGAAGGAAAGTGCCTTGCAAGAGGAGCACGAGTCATCGACAAGCTCTGCTTCAGCATGAGCACGGCCAAACACTGAACGCAGAGCTTGTGGCGAGATGATGTTTAATGTCTCCGACAACGCCTGTAGTCCCATTTAGCAACTTGTTAGCAACCGTCTTTTTTAAGAAACGTAACAGTGCAGTTTGTGTGCAAGCAAGGAACATTAGATAGTCTGAAATAAAACAAAAAATTTCCGGTCGATCGGTGCAACTGTACTCCACTGTATAAATTAAATACAGATTAATCACTGTTAAAGCTAAAAAGTTACTAGTCAAGATGGGTATTTGGACATACTTTTGTATGTATTTGCCCGTTCAGGCGTGGAAAGAAACTCAATTCAGGGCTGTCTGTGTGCGCGCTGTCTACATGAAAAAACAATGTGCGAGTACTGAATGTAATTCTTTCGCGCCTGAATGCTTTTAAATTGCTTGAATTTTTAAATTAACAAGGCTTAAAAACATGCAAATGATAAACTTCCATGACGAGGCTGCAGTGGCCTGATTGGGTGTGACAAATCCGTCTACTGTCCTGAACGTCTTTCACGCTGGCCCCGGGCCATCGGGCAGTCCTTATTGTCGAGCCCTGCTCTGTCTAATCTTCATTAACCGACAGCAGTAATATTTGGGTGGGGAGTGGAGCATTTGAGTCACATGCAGAGCAGAAAACTGACGGGAGTGGCTGTAGTGGAGAAAAACTGACTGGATCAAATTGTACAGGTGACACACAGCTCACTTCTCTGTCACTGTAAGTTACTGAAACCACACATGAAAACACGCAACACATGGTCGACGCTCATTTGTGCCGCAGAGCGACTCGCACTGTATGATGTGACAGATAACTAGTTGTCCAGTCCTGTTCCATTCACACAGCATGTTTTCTGAGACTGCGGTTGTGAGTCCTGCAAATTTACGTGTTAGTTCACTTACAGAATGCAGTTGTCACGCCCGTAATAACCGTACTGTGTGTGAACGTAACCTTATTAAGGACTCAAATACAGGACTGACAACCGTATTCTGCTGCTGTGTGAACGTAATGAGACAAAATTGTATTCATACAGTATATAGCAATTTCATGTATTTTAACAAGTCTCGCAGTATAAAATTTAACTGTAAGCAACTTTTTTTTTCTAAATATCTAAATATCCCAGCAGCTCCTGCCACTACAAGCTCTTCTTCAACTGAGTCTCAAACATCAGTTCCTACAAGTGAGTATTTTTATTCATGGACAACTGAGTAAATGTATTAATAGGAAAATTATATTGGTATTTTATTCATTTTATTTTTAATGTCATATTGTAGGGAAGCCACAATTCTCAAAAAATATTGAACCATTCGTTATGACATCCATGGTTCAATATGCGCTTGTGAATTAAGTTTTTTTTTCTTTTTTTTTTCGGTTGCATTTAAGTAGCTTCTGTGTGTTTTATTTCTCTTCGAAATTGGCTCTGTTTGTGCGCCTGTGAGTCTATGAGGTGAGCTTATGTGATGCCTCCCCGCTTAAAACGTGCATTTGAAAAAGCAACACACGCCAAATATCTTCCCTTGTAATGACTTGCAAGGAGAAGTGTTTCTAAGCCTGCTGTCCAACAAAAGAGAACATTATAACATGATTTTACTCTGCAACATCAGTCGAATGTTTGAAATAATTTCCTTTTGTCATGTGGCTTCTTATCACAGAATAAGGCAGAAAATATATTCTATACTGTAATAAAGGCTATGTTGATTAACAATGGATTGCAAATATATTATTATGAAAATACTCAAGATGTCTTGAAGAACACATATAATGTATATATTGTTGCAGTCAAGTGTTTATTGCAGTCAAGTGTTTATTGTTTTCATGTTTCATCATTCAAAACATTTCTATTTTTTATTCAGTTATAGCGATAGTTGGATGCCTTTTTTCCATATTAGGGATTTCCTGGAGCATCATGAGTTCTATTACTCTATTTACTCTTCTATTTACTTCTGTGATGCATAAGTGGAATTTCAGCTTGAAGGCTTCCAGCGTGAATGAAACAGACATTGCATGTGTTTATAGTGCTCCATAATGGCCAGTCCATCCTATTTTTGGTAAAAATAGGAAAAATAAAACTTCTTTAAAAAAAAAGCTTTGTCGATAATGACAAAACTGTTATCTAGATATTTTCTGTAATTTTGTCAATTTTATCAATAGATGATGATGGACTAAAAAAAAAACAGTCTGCTTTTAAAATTAAGAAAAACATGCTTCTAAAATGAACACGTCACTAACTAGCTTAGCCGCTTCTCTGCCGGGACAGCACATTAGATTAAACTAGTTGTGCAGATAACTTGATATGTAGAGTTTGAATCCCATGTTCCACTTGTGTGTCCACTTTAGCCAGATCTCAGAGACATCCAGTAAATACTGACATTTTGGGTGATGCGAAAGTAAACCAAAAACGAATATACCGACTTCTGGCAACAGCGGAAGTTCGTCGCTATGCTTGTGCACAGAGTCCATTTTGCTGAGCGTTTTATTGTGCTGGTACCTTGGCAGGTTTAGGACTGCCGTGGACAAGGTATGGTCGTATTGATCCTGAAGTATCGATATATCTATACTGATGCGAGTATCGAAAGTATCAATACTCAAATAAAAAATATCGATACTAAGGTGTGTTTTATTTACCAGAGATTTTATTTTCTTAGCAAAAAATTGTGCACAATATGCATTAAATTGTGTAGGATAGAACTATTTTCCTGCTCATCTAAACGCATGCAAATGTTGCAAGACAGAACCAATCAATCACGGAGAGCGTTCACTCACTTCTGCCAGTGCATTCAAACAGGGCTGTGTTACCCAAAAGTATCTTTTGGGAACAGCAGCCCAAAACAATGCTTATGAGAGGACAGAAAACCATATGTTTGCGTTATTTCTCAATAAACAAATTGAACTGGTAGCTTACATAGTTTGTGCAATTACATTTATTTAAATTGAACATTGAAAGTTCATATTGATCATGTTCTTTTCTGTAATGTTAATATAATCATACACTGTCAGAATAAAAAGGTTGCATTTTATGCATGCAACAGCCTGTCACTGGCAGTCCCTTATGAAAATGAACCACGGTTTAACTAAAGTGACCATAGTTCAACCATAGTATTTGTAGAATTCCATGGTTACCACTACAGTAAACATATTTTAACCACGTGTAAACAAAAATATAACCTAATAAGTTGCAATTAAGGCATATTGAATTTTAAAATGCGTTTCAAATATAGTTAAGTGGGTATCATTACCCATTTTACTCCTAGTAATTTAATCAATTTCATAATTAAAAAGCTCAGTTTAGAAAAATTGTATTGGTATCAATATCGACAATACTGGCCTTTAAAAGTATCAGTATCGTATCGGAAACAAAATAAGTGGTATCGCCCATCCCTACCGAGGACAGCTGACTCCCCAAGCTTTTGATATTATTCATACTCTGTGTAGTAATTTGTTTGCAGGAGTAACAGAACTTAACTTTTCCAATAAGTTTAAATTGATTTTTAACATTGATGGGCATTTTTACCTTTATAAGGCCAATTATTTTTTCTAACCAAATTAAATGTATGCATCATCTTTTGTGTCAAATTCATAAATGTAATCAATAAATTCAAATAGTAAGACACTATAGGGCTCTTACCAATCAAATTAAATCAATATCAACAAAAGTTTTCCTTGCAATGCAGAGGTGGCACAGCAGCTCTATCTGAAGTATCATTTATATGCATTCACACAGACTGTTCAATGCAGGACATGAATGCATTTAACTTGCAGTTACAAATGCATAATTAATGTTTTTATGTTAAAAAAGTTGAATACTGATATTTGAAAGGATTTATTGGGGGAAGGAAAATATACTTTAAAGGAGTAGTTCACTTCCAGAACAAAAATTTACAGATAATGTACTCAACTCCTTGTCATGCAAAATCTTCATGTCTTTCTTTCTTCAGTCGTAAAGAAATTATGTTTTTTGAGGAAAACATTTCAGAATTTCTCTCCATATAATGGACTCCTATGGTGCCCCCGAGTTTGAACTTCCAAAATGCAGTTTAAATGCAGCTTCAATGGGATCTAAATGATCCCAGCTGTGGAAGAAGGGTCTTATCTACCGAATCGATCTGTTATTTTCTAAAAAAAAAAATACAATTCATATACTTTTTAACCTCAACGCTCGTCTTGTCTAGCTCTGCGTGAACTCTGTTTTTTCCGGATCATGACAGTTCGGGTATGTCGAAAAACTCCCATCTCATTTCCTCCTCCAACTTCAAAATCGTCCTACATCGCGGTTTTACCTTTTTTTGTAAAGGGCGTTAGATCTTCTTTGCATGTTCACTTTGTAAACACTGGGTCGGTACTTCTGCAGCGATGTAGGACGATTTTGAAGTTGGAGGAGAAAATGAGATGGGAGTTTTTTTTTTTTTTAAAGACTTTAATAATAAAATAAACAAACACAAAATGAAAGTAAAGCGCCAGTCCCTCACGGACGACTGCTGCACACAAAACACAAAATAAAATCCAGGCCTGGTCCTCTCTCGTCCTTCACTGTTGTCACTCCTCCTTTTATCCTTCCGGAGCTCCTCCGTGGGACTCGAGACCGGTTAGTGGCGCAGGTGTGCCCGCTCTGCTCCCACAGCTCTCGGCCCTGCCCCACTCGTCACACTAGTGTATGATTAAAACGATGCGTGGGCCCGGAGACATTTTGCTTGACCCCAAAAACGTTTATTAAGTCTGTAAACGCAAGTCCTAACGCATCAATTGTATTATCAATGTGAATGTTAAAGTCTCTGACAATTATCGCTTTATCGACATTAACCAAGAGGTCTGAGAGGAAATTATCTGTGACCATTTCATTTACAATAACTGCTTTGGGTGCGAGTGATCTAATGTTTAGGAGCACAAGCTTGAAAAATTATTTTTGTTCTTTTATTTTGCATTTTTCTGGTTTAATCACGATCAGATTTTTTCTAGATCCTGCATTAAATTTACATTTTGACCTCACTATTTGGGGAACAGACACAGTCTTTATAGACTGGACAACACAAGTACTTCTATCATTTGAGTGGGTAGAACAAAAGCCATCATCAAAGTTATTTGAGAATTGGCTTACTAGTCATATGGAGTGTAGCGTCCTGGAGATGTTGTCTGACAGGAGTTCCGCTCCGACTCTGCTGGGGTGCAGGCCACCAGCACGAAAAAGCCTAGGACGTTCCCAGAAAAGATTCCTATTATAAACAAAGCAGTTTCTGTTATTTAAACCATGACAATAACCATTAATTTAGAGCAAAACGTCTACTGAACCATTCGTGTTCTCCGCGATACGTAGGAAGAATAATCACAATCAAAACTTCGTGATTTAGACAGTTTGATGTTGGGTATTCATACAATTATGGTGAAAATCAAAGACATTTGTTTGTTCAGAAAGTAAAGAAATGCTTATATTACTTCACTAACCAACGGAGCGAACAATCCTGTGACGTCACACGCTGTGGTATTGCAAGATGTCGGTGCCCATGCTCCAAAAGCTATAACAAAACATCCTTTTTTTATTTGAAATGGTTACATAAATCTTGTTTGTTATATATTTTTTGATTAAAGTGGAAATCAGATTACTAAATAATGTAAACTTGACTGAATGCTTTATGTTTAAACATCAGCAGCTACCATTTATGTTGGGAAGTAGAAAATAGTAATAAAACAAAATTGCATTCATACAGCAATTTCATGTATTGTAGCAACAATTCTCGCAGTATAAAATGTGACTATGTAAAAACAAATCTACTTTATTTTCTTGGTACATCTAAATATCCCAGCAGCCCCTGCCACTACAAGCTCTCCTTCAACTGAGTCTGAAACATCAGCTCCTCCAAGTGAGTATTTTCATGGACAACTGAGTAAAGTTGTTAATTTGAAAATGGTACCTTTATTTCATTCATTTTTATTGTTAATGTTGTATATTGTTAGAATAATTGTGCTTTTTTCATTCAAATACCGAATATCAAACCTCAGTGTCTACCAGTTAGAATTAATGTTGGGAAATAGGAAATAGTAATAAGACAAAATTGTATTCATACAGTTTACAACAATTTCATGTATTTTAATAACAATTCTTGCAATATAAAATTTGATTGTATCCCAAAAAAAAAAATACAGAAAAAAAAAAAACTTTTTTCTTTGTACATAAAAATATTCATGCAGCCTCTGCAACTACAAGCTCTCAAACATCAGCTACTCCAAGTGAGTATTTTTATTCATGAACAATTGTGTAAATACATTAATAGGAATTTGATAATTCAGTTTATTATCAATGGTATGTTGTACTGATTTCATTGGGATTCAGCTTTGATGCCATCTCAGGTTTACATGGAGCAGAAAACTGCACAGCTGCATCCAGAACCCTGGACTACCTACAAACATTATATGAACTTTATGAAACTTTATGATTTCTACAGCTGTTTCAGGTGCAAGAATCACTAATCAGTTTCTTCTCTGTTCTTAAACAGGACCAAATGCGATCGAGAATCTCACAGTAACTGAAATCTCCTCATCATTTGTGCTTCTGAAATGGGATAAACAACTCGAAATGGGGTCTTCCTTCAAAGTTAAATGGACCGCTGATGAAACATATGGGAATGTAACAGTCACAGTCACAAATGTAACAGTTGCTGGTCTGATTGCTGGAGTCAATTACACATTTTGCATCACAGTCGTTGTAGCAGATACATCAACAGAACCTGTCTGTATCTCAGCATGGACCAGTATGTAGACTTTCAAAACATTTGTCCTTTGCTTATTTACTCCAAATGCTTGACTTCTACCCACAAACAATTATATATTAAAACATCATAGTAATTTATTAACTGAAACAGTGTTTAAAAATATTCATACAATGTTTTATCTGTTTAGTGGTTTGCCACTTGAATGAGCAAATTTCTGAGATTTAGAATCGAAGCCATCTGATATTTTCTCTATTAGTTGGACCATGTATACAGTGGTGGCCAAAATCATTAGAACACTAGTATTTTTACCAGCTAAAAATGGTTTTAAGTCAGTTATTTCTATATTTTGCTGTGTGTCAATAGTATGAAATATCAGTTTACATTTCCAAACATTCATTTTGGGCAACGTCTCCAAGATGCTTCAAGAGACCTACCTGCAAAGCTACAGTGCTGTTAAAAGTTTTAGGCACTTGTGTAAAAATGCTGTAGAATGAGGATGTTGTCAAAAATAATGTCATAAATAGATTTTCTTTATCAATTAACTTCTATTAACTAAATTAAATAAACATTTGGTGACCATCCTTTGCGGGGTTTTTTTTGCCCTCTGTGCACTTGAGCAGAGTTTTTCGGGTAGCTTTGCAGGTAGGTTTCTTGAAGCATCTTGGAGACGTTGCCACAGTTCTTCTGGATTGAATCTGTCTCAGTTTGTTCTGTTTCTTCGTGTCTTTCCAGGCAGACTGGATGATGAGATCATCTTAAGGCTAAAAGTAGCTCATAACTCGCTGATTTAGGAGACGATCTTAAAAATAATGGGCGTGTCCGTCCTAAATTTAGGACTTCTACATTTTTGCTCTAAGAGTATTTCACAAAGCGTTTTAGCACTAAAACTAGCTCCTAAATCTGTCACACGTTAGTAGTGAAGAGGACTCCTAAGTCACTAAGACCAAGCCACAAACTATCCTAAAATGGCTGTTGCCGGCAATCTGCCTCTGAATGTAAACATTTTAGAAACATTTGATGATAATGACCTTATAAAATGGTATCACCTTTGGGTTTGGAGGTTACCCCAACTCTAAATTTTCCTTTGACTATATCCTTGTTTTCATTAACCAGTTGAGCAAGAAATAACAGCTGTTCTTGCATCTAGTTTGGTTTTCTTTTACGTTCACTTATCCTGCATTTTAAAATCTTTATTTGAATGTGGCAATTAAATTTTTTTTTATTTTTAAACCTTTATTTGAATACGGCAACATAATATTGTGCTCTACAATATTTCTATGAATAAATCTCTGACAGAGACTATCAGCCAATCACTGTGTGCATAGTTAGTAAGCATGCTGACATCCATAGTAACGAGGTCAACCCCACCCCCTTACTCTTAGCTCAAGACTTCTCTCTATTCCTTAGTAAAAGTTTGTCTCAGCAGCTTTGTGAATTGGTTTTATGAGAAAACTCTTAGCTAAATACTTTTACTGTTATTTAGGAGAACTCTTAGTGGTAAGATAAAATGTTTTTTGAATACGGGCCCAGATCTCTGTATGTAGCACTAGATGTTGTCAGACTCCTTGTGCAAACAAAAATCTCATTAGATTGTTACACTAAATGGCAAAATGAATGTTTGGAAATGTAAACTGATATTTCCTTCTGACACACTACAGCAAAAGATAGAAATAACTTACTTAAAACCATTTTTTAGCTGGAGAAAATATAAGTGTTCTAATAACACTTATAATAAAATAATAAGTGTTCTAATAATTAAAAAAAAAAAAAAAAGTGTTCTAATAATTTTGGCCTCCACTGTATCTGACATACTTGTACTCAGTGAGCTCTCATCTAAAAGCAAATATTATATTAATTTATAATAGCATTGTTCCAACAGCTATTTTAGTTCATTCCATTACCGCTAATTATTTGCCCTTCGTTCCCCACACAGAACCGGATGTGATCAGGGATCTTAATGTGACTGAAATCACAACATCATCTGTGTTTCTGACATGGGATGAACCAGCTGGAAATAGAGATTTCTTTAAAATTAACTGGACTGATGATAAAACATACAACCATGTAACAACCAATAACACATGGTATAACATCACTGGTCTGACCGCTGGAGTCAATTACACATTTATCATCACAGCTGTTGCAGCAGATCAATCAACAGAAGGAGAATCAGTGGTTACCTCAAAATATACTAGTATGTTTTCCACTTAAATGTTTCCTGATTTCCCTAGCTGGAAATTCATACAGTATTAAATGACTGATGCCTTTCATATGTATAAATCTTCACTACATTAGGATTTCAGGAGTCACATTTTAATTCCCAAATGTCTGTTATTTTTCACTCACAGAGCCTGACGTCATAATGAACCTCACAGCTGATGATATTACAACATCCTCTGTCTTACTAAACTGGACTAAACCGAATGGTCAAAGCTCCCGTTATCGTGTAGAATATGAAGATAAGAATGTGATGACTGAAAACACATCCATCAAAATAAATGATTTGATTCCTGGAGCGCAGTACACATTCAGAGTGTTTGCAGTTGCAGCTGATCATGTGACCGAGGGAAGAGCCAATCAGATTCCACTGTATACCAGTAAGAGCTCTGATTGGATGTTTAATCTGAATGAAGCCTCAGCCCCAAACCATCTCATAATTTCTTCCCTTGAGCAGAAAACCGTACAGCAACATCACTTACAAATGCTATAACTGCTTTATGAATTACTAATTGTATCAATGTTTTAACATGTTTTAACTATACTTCTTACCAGCACTTATGATTTCTCCTTCTCTCCCCTCACAGAGCCAGATGTAATCAGTAATTTCACAGTGTCTAAAATCACAACATCATCCATGTTTCTGACATGGGCTGAACCATTTGGAAATAGATCTTTCTTTAAACTTAACTGGACTGACAAGAATTTGGACTTGAACAGAAATGCAATAGAAACTAATAACACTTCCTATCACATCACTGGTCTGACTGCTGGAGTCAATTACACATTCTGCATCACTGCTGTGGCAGCAGATAAAACAACAGAAGGAGAAACTGTCTGCATCTCAAACTATACCAGTATGTAAAACTATAAAATATCTGTTTTGTGCTACATAGTACGTTATCAGAATTATGCCTTTCTGCAACTCGCAGTATACCAGTATGTAGAATTATAAAATATCGGTTGCCTTCGTTTTTGTACAAATTACCATCGAAAACTCCTGTTACAGAGTAAATTAGAATAATGGCGTGACTATCAATGAAACCTCCATCAAAATACATAAAACAGATAATGTAATTTTTTAGATCTCAGTATTTACTAAAATGCCATCTAGATTCATTAAATGTTCTGATGGAGTTATTATAAACAGTATAATCTTCATTCTTAAAAAAAAAAAAAATTGATAGCCAAACTTTCTGTATCAGAATAAAAATGGAAAACATTATTAATAAAAAAAAAACACACATTACAGCGAGAATAAAAGTTTTGCCTTCTTTCTTTGCGTGAACATTTCGGTGGCGTTATGCAAATCCTTTTATAAATAATTCCTTTTCACTGAATTTGTTTACTGATTAAAAATAATCTGTCCAGAGAGGATTAGTTTCATTACTGTATTAAAATGATGACTGAAATTTTTCACAGTATAGAAATGAGAACTGAGCAGGCAGATTTGATTTAATATTCCTGAAAACAATGTCATAAAGCAAGGACAGTCTATTGTTATTATTAGTGATGCCTTTTCTGTGAAAGATTTGCACCTTGTATAATTTAGTACAGGTTCTGACCAGCATACTTTTTAATCTTCTCTTTTACCACCTTTTTCATTGACTTCTCTCTTCTCTTCACAGGACCTAATGTGATCAGGAACCTCGCAGTGTCTGAAATCACAACATCATCTGTGTTTCTGACATGGGATGAACCAGTTGGAAATAGATCTTTCTTCAAAGTTCAATGGGCTGATGATAAAACAAATGCAACTACTAACACTTCCTATAACATCACTGGTCTGACTGCTGGAGTCAATTACACATTCTGCATCACTGCTGTGGCAGCAGATATATCAACAGAAGGAGACACTGTCTGCATCTCAAACTATTCCAGTATGTAATATTATGAATTATCTGTCATCTTCCTTTTTTATATATACTGTAGTTGTAAGGATGCAAAAGTGATTATTGCAACTATATTTAATCTCAGACAGTACAGTATGCTGAGTTTTAGATAAGGGATGAACTTGAAATATCATAGATATAAAATGTGCAATGTTGTTAATTAATATTAGTGGAATTTTGTCATGATTTATTGAAGAAGGTGAACTCATCTGAGATGGCAATTTGCAATACCACACATTTAAAAAAGACAAAGAAAGGAAGAATGTACCCAGGGTATGAATTAGGTGGCTGGGAGCCTACAAATTACCTCAACTGGAACAATATGTATCATTATATAAAGTAACATACACATAAAGAAAAATGAATATGCAGCATTCCCAGCATAATCAAAAATGTAGGGGTAATGTTAAATAGCAATTATGATATTAAATATAATACAAGAAGTGTGCTCTTAATTATGTGAAGATATCAAAAATATAAATAACACTTTAAACAGTATAGCCAGAGATGAAGAGTATTTTCATATTTATTGCCATCAGTGTTAGAAATGAACTTTCCCATAGGGAAATGTTTCCCCCTCAAATTGATTTCCAGGGGCACTTTTAATCTTTATATAGGGTCTTTATATTTTTTCTAACCTTTTTAAAATGTCTGTCATCTTTAATGTTAAATTCTTAAATTTAGTTTAAGAATTTAATGATTTAGTTAATTAAATTAGAATAATAAGACACAATAGGCTGTTAACCCATTTTTGCAATGAAGAGCTGGCACAGAAGCTCCATTTAAAGTCACTTTAATCATAATTGTATAATTCATACAGCTGTTGTAATTTATTTTACCACCACTACATATAATTTACTTTTCTCTCCCCACACAGAGCCAGGTGTGATCAGGAATCTCACTGTAAACAACATCACAACATCATCTGTGTTTCTGACATGGAATGAACCAGGTGGAAATAGATCTTTTTTTAAACTTCAGTGGACTGATGATAAAACAAACAGAAATTCAACAACCACTAACACTTCTTATCACATCACTGGTCTGACTGCTGGAGTCAGTTACACATTCTGCATCATTGTTGTGGCAGCAGATAAATCAACAGAAGGCGATGCATTCTGCATCTCACAATTTACTAGTATGTAACATTATAAAATATCTGATCTTTTATATATATTATAAGGGGGTCATATGATGCGATTTCAAGTTTTCTTTTGTCTTTGGAGTGTTACAAGCTGTTTGTGCATATATAAGATCCTTAAAGTTGCAAAGACTAAAGTCTCAAACCTAAAGAGATATTCTTTATAAAAGTTGACTTCCTAAAACGCCTCAAACACGCCCCCACAAATCTACGTCACTGTGTTGGAAGATTTGCATAACCCCGCCCAGATGTTTACGCAAAGAAAGAAGGCATAACTTTTTACTCTTGCTGTAGTATTGTTGCCGCCGCCACCATGTCGTGGAGATGCTGTGTTTCCTAAAATGGTAAGGGGCGTAACATTTCCGTCACACACTTGAGGTATTCGGCCAATCACAACGCACTGGATAGCTGGCCAATCAGAGCACACCGCGCTTTTCAGACCGATGAGCTTTGTAAAAATCGATGCATTTCAGAAAGGAGTGGCACAGAGGGGCAACAATAATGTACGGTATGTAGAAAATAGTGTGTTTTTGAACCTTGAACTGCGTAAATACATTGCATTACACCAAATACACAAAATAATTTTTAGCATCGTCATATGACCCCTTTACATTAATTGTCTGACCCACCAATATTTTTTCTAGTAATTTGTAAAAGCAATGTAAAGCTATGTACTCAAGTTACAGTGTAAACATCAGTCTATTACTTATTGATTTGTCCCACCAGTTCACGTTTCCTCCTATATGTTTATACTTTGTGTCCTTTGTGTTTTTGTTTTATTTTTAGATTAACATTTATGACTTGACCTTCTCTCCCCTCACAGAGCCAGATGTAATCAGGAATTTTACAGTGTCTAAAATCACAACATCATCCATGTTTCTGACATGGGCTGAACCATTTGGAAATAGATCTTTCTTTAAACTCAACTGGACTGATGAGAATTTGGACTTGAACAGAAATGCAATAGAAACTAATAACACTTCCTATCACATCACTGGTCTGACTGCTGGAGTCAGTTACACATTCTGCATCACTGCTGTGGCAGCAGATAAATCAACAGAAGGAGAAACTGTCTGCATCTCAAACTATACCAGTATGTAAAACTATAAAATATCTGTTTTGTGCTACATAGTACGTTATCAGAATTATGCCTTTCACCTTTTTTAGTCTGTTATTCATTTGTCCCACCAGTTCACATTTCCCCCATATGTATTTATATTTCACTTGTGTCCTGATTGTTAAGAAAAAGAAAGTAAAAGAAATTGACATTTGTGAATTGCTCTTCTCTCCTGTACACAGAGCCAAATGTGATCAAGAATCTTGTGTCTAAAATCACAACATCATCTGTGTTTCTGACATGGGATGAACCAGTTGGAAATAGATCTTTCTTTAAAGTTCAATGGGCTGATGATAAAACAGATGCAACTACTAACACTTCCTATAACATCACTGGTCTGACTGCTGGAGTCAATTACACATTCTGCATCACTGCTGTGGCAGCAGATCAATCAACAGAAGGAGACACTTTCTGCATCTCAAACTATACCAGTATGCAAACTTATAAAGTACATGTTTCATACTACACATCTAATAATCCAAAAATGACAAAAGACAAAGAAATGAACAGAACTGGGTGTATAAATACAAAGGGCAAATGAGGAGGGGGGGGGAAGGAACAGGCAGGGCTAATCAATTAAGAAATGAGTAACAAACAAATGAGAACATTCTTAGAAACCAACAAAGCAGGTACAAAAATACATGAAAGTGGACACCGGGATCAATGGAATGAGAAAACCTGAAAATTAAGAGTCTCTGAGCTTAAAATAGGAATAAACATTATATTGATTTCTGACCCACCAATATTTTTTTCAAGTAATTTGTAAAAGCACTAGAGTTACTCCCATTTCAAGCACTCCTTTATGCTGCTTTTTTCTTTTTAGTAGAAATATCATACAAAGCTTATGTTAAACAATAAATATCAAAATACTGCCTTACCCCTGCCAGTCTATTGTTCGTTAATTTGGCCCACCAGCTCATGTTTCATCCTTTATGTATTTCTACTTTACTTGTGTCTTGTGTGATTGTTTTTTCAAATCATCAAATATGACTTGCCCTTCTCTCCCCACACAGAACCAGATGTGATCAGGTATCTCAGAGTGAACAACATCACAACATCATCTGTGTTTCTGAGATGGGATGAACCAGTTGGAAATAGATCTTTCTTTAAA